TATACCAAACAAGAGCCAAATTTCAGCACCAGGGCTTCTCTGTATTTCCAAAATGAATTAGTAACATTTTTTGCTGACTTTGAGATTTCATTCTGGAAGTTTTGGGTACAGTTTTAGGGGGAACTAAACCATGTAAAAATAATCCAACAAGTATTCATACTGTCCCATGGACATGCTATTCCAGTTGTGCTGCTGCTGCTGCTTTTTGCTCAAAAGCCTGATAATACCAATGATGTCTCATGCAAACTTCTGAGGATTTATTCCAGTCAGGCATGAATGCTGAACCATTTGAAGAGGACACACCAGCTCTGAACCACCAGATGGGGACCTCTGGAGCACAGCACTCATCACACACTGTCTGCATGCAGGATGCCCAAACCTGTTTTCAGATGCAGAGATGTTGAAGTCTTTTCTGATAAGGAAACAGCAGGTATGTCAATATGCTTTCTCATCCCCTGGAGTCACTGCTCAAAGTGTCCTACACTAAATTGCCAGTATCATGACCTAATATGTCAGGGAGATTGATATCATACTTCTGTTCAGCCTGGGAGGGGGCTTTGGCCTTCATGACCCAATGCTGTTTCTGAGGGAGCTGGATATAACCCTCTCATCCGCACTTGCACAGGAACAAGCACACAAAGATGTCTTCAACCTGCAGGTGACTGCAAAATCAAATGTCTGTTCAAAAGGCCAAGCCCCTCTAATTCACCTAACCAGTCACCTCTATGTCATGCTTTTTCAGATCTAGAGATCACCTGAGAATTAAAAAAAAAAAAAAGACCTATGGGTGTGCTATCGTGTTATGAAATGGAAGGCACAGAGAGCATCTGCCTCAGGGTTCAACACTTTCTTCCTCAGCACAGACACAGGTCTATGAAGAATTTCATATTAACTTGTAGTTTCATTCATAGAAACCATTGAGAGAATTCAGATATTGTGATGACTGCTGTCCTCAACAAAGCATCAGGAGAGGATGGCAGATCCAGAGAGCTTCCTGTGTTACTCATGAAGGTTTGGAGATGGACAACTGTGGCAATCAGAGTCCTCAGTGAACACAGGGATTTGGTGAAGGTACATTTATGAAAACTACCATGAGTTCTTGTATAAATGAGAATGTTTCTTTGGCTGAACACTGTCCATCCTTGCTGAGGAGTTTGCAGCTGGCACAGAGGCCTAGTCTTCTCATTTGTAGATGTTTTTCAAGTAAGTGTGAGGGTTTTGGTGTCAGGAGTCCCTGGGATTTTTTTCAACAGCTGCAGAATTGAAAGAAAAAGATCTCTGAGGTCACCAAAGGCACAGGTTGGTTTCAGGGAGAATTCTAATCCAGTTGCCTTTATTTTGGCTTGGCAATTTACAGTGTGAAGTCCTCAGGGCTGTTACAATGTCCTTTCTGCTGCAGGACCACCTCTTGCTCTGAAAGGTGAAAGGATTCATTGCCCAGTGAGTGGTGTCCCTGCTGAGCCCCTGCCCTGGTCACTGTGTCCTGGCAGCCTTTGCCTTACTGGGACTGGATGTCTGTACAAGTGTGTAAAAGAAGAACAAATGAGTTCTGGAATGGCTGCAAAGTCATTTAGGGGCTAAAATCTATTGACTCAGAGTTGATGTAGGGAGGAAATGGGCATCCACTGAACATGGTCCTAGCAAACACATCTAGCCTGCCCCCTTGCCCATGCAGTAATGTGATTTCATCAACATATATAAACCCCCAAAAGTAAAATCTTACCATTCAGAGTTTGAGAGAATATTATGACAGGTCCTAGAAAAACAACAGCAAAAAAAGTACAAAGTATCAGCATTAGCAAGGATTTACTTAGAAGAATTAAAGCTATCAGACTTGCAGTTGTTTTTTTTCCCCCAGTTTATATTTAGCTGAAGTTTCTGAGCATCTCAAACAGACCCACAGGCCTTGTGTTTTGTCCACAAATCCTCCCCATGGATGGCAGGTGATTCCTTGCCATACAACAGCACATTGGCACCCCAAGCTCTATCCTCCACTGTAGCACAACTAGTGCTGAAGGAAGAGGTAGTTAAATATTGTCCCACTTGAAGAACACTGAAGTGTCTGTGTTGTGAAGGAGGGAAGAGCAGAGAGTGATGCAGAGAAAGACAGGGATTTCCAGATTTCATTCACATTACTCCCTGATTACTCCATAAATCCTATCCCACCTCTTCCATGCATATTAGTTTGCAAAACAAACTTCCCCCTTGGATGCATTTAGGAAGATATTCTTTCTTCAGTTAAAATTGGCTCTGGAGTGGGCAGAGCTGTGAGGGGGAACCATTCACCCACAGGACATTCAGTGGTCTCCTGGGCTGGAATAAGCTCTGCAGGGTAAGCTGCACAGCAATGGTGCAGACTGAGACCACCCTAAGGAACTGGATCCCCTGGAGGTAAGGCTGAGCAGTGCAATCACTGCCTGTATTACTGGAGCAGTGAGGAAAGAAATTCTGTGCTTGTATTTCATACCACCACCAGCTGAGAGAGGGCTGTGTCACAGCACCAACTGCAGAGGTGGAGTTCAGACCAGCTGTTGGCCCAGGCTCTCCTTTGCAGTGAGTATCATTTATTTACTGACCCCACAAACAATGTTAGGGAAATGAGACCATAAAGAAAACCCTGTAAGCTTTTCCCACTGCCAGCACAGCCTGTAAGGCCCATTACCCACAGGAAACATGACCAGTTGCCAGACCATACCTCGGCCGTTCGCAGTTCCAGCAAACACAGTACGCTGCCAGTGCTGCTGCACAGAGTACAGGGACCAGCACTGCCACCATGACAGCAGTGCTGCTCTTTTCAGCAGCCAAAAATTGAAGATTACCTGCAGAGCAGAAGAAAAGAAGTCATAGAGTCACAGGGGTTGGAAGGAACCTCTGAAGATCAAGTCCAACCCCCCTGCTACAGAAGGAACACCCAGGGCAGATTAGACAGGAACGTGTCCAGATGGGTCTGGAAAGTCTCCAGAGAAGGAGACTCCACAAACTCTCTGGGCAGCCTGTCCTAGGGCTCCATCACCCTCACAGTAAATAAGTTTTTCCTCATATTGAGGTGGAATTTCCTGTTTTTCAACTTGGTGCCATTTCCTTACTTATGATTTACTGGAAAGCGGAATTCCTGGAAACTTGTTGCATGCTCATCACGTTCCACCTTCCCTCAGTGTCCCTGTATCTACAGCTCCAGAGCCACAGTTAGATTAATTGTTACCTAGGGATATATATTTCCAGGACTGGGCACAAACGGGTTCTGGGGAAAGGCTGGCTCAGTTTGGCTGGCTACAGCATCTGTGGGTTCAAGATACGAATGCACAGGACATCCCCATGGAAAGCTGTTCACATCAAGCTGTCTGGGCAAAACACTCTCAAAGCAAAGGACAAACAAACAGGTCAACAGGCTCACCAGGCTCTCCCTCATCCATGGTGTTGATTGGTGGTTCCTGGATTTCCTCACCTGACATTTCAGGGTTGCACTGCAGAGGGAGGTGAAGCACTGAGAGGTTTATCTCTGCTTTGCAGCAAATTTTAGTGATGCTATCACTCCTAATTTCTGAGGAAGATGAAAGATAAAAATAATTTTAATGACAAAAAAACAGATCATTAATAAGATATTAAATCAAGGGTTTAAAAAGTTAAAGAGGTTAATAGATTTTAAAAGTGGATCCTTCATTGACCACAACAACTTGGAGATTGCTACAATCATATTTAATCCACCAACTACTTAAACCAACCAATCATCATTTATATTTTCTTCTCACTAAAGCTGATTATCTATTCTATGAACCAATAAAGACAATCTTCACATTTGAAGAAGGCAAAAAAAAGTTTCCACTGGTAATTAAGAACACCAATACATTTGCAAGAAGCTAATCCTCACCTTTTTGCATTTCAATTCTATTCAGATAATAATTGTGACCAAATTTTCACCTTCCATTTACCCACAAGAACCAAAGAAGAACAAGAAGCAAGACCAGCAGCTGTATAAACCTCAGAGTGCATCTTCCACCCAGCCTGGACACCACTGGGCTATTATAGAACTTATTCCTCTTCTAAGAGGCGGGAAATGAAAAGGCCATTGCCTTGAAAACTCCCTCCTATCTACATATCCCCACAATCGGCACATCCACCCGTTACCCTCTCAAGGAAGGCATCTAGGTCTACAGCAATTCCCAGTTTTTGCTGTGGATGTTTTAGTGTCACCCAAGTTTTACCCAGTGGTAACAGCATGTAGATATTTCACAGTGATAAGCATAAATCCAGGAGAGAAATTGTTTGCAGGGCTCAGAAATTAAATACACGGGGAAATGTCAGACTGAACAAAAGCACATGTAGATTGAGGATTTTTTTCTTGTCTGTCAGCTCTAAAATTTGAATGGATGCTCCAAGTCTAATAGATGTGATTAAAGCCACTTTCAGAGAATCGTCCACAACTGGGAGAGCAAAGTCAAGCACACATATTCAGCTGGGTGTTAAATATCATTGACCTGAATCAAGTCCAACTAAATTGCACCTGTGCGACCTGATCCATGATGAGGTTTTGCCCTCTTGGAGCCAACGTGTTTCCTACACATGGTGACTGGCATTTTTATCCCTGAATTTGACAGCTTTATGAGAAAGCTAGAAGGAAAACCTGGTTCTTTACTGAATATCAGAAAAGAGCAGCACACAATGGCTTTTTAGGCTAGGGCTGGAATTCAGCATGTTCTGACTGAAGTAGGGTTCATACACTGTAAACTGGCACAGATTTTCACCATGAGAATTGATGTTGCCAAAAAAACCCAAAAGTATCTTTATAAATCAGAGCAACATGAAATTCTCTGAACCTCTACTAGTGCAGTGCGAAGCAATGTTTGACCTGAGACAATTTTGTTTTTGTAAATGGCTTCTTTAATAAAAGAAACTCATTTTGACAAGTTACTTTACTCATTAACCACACTAACTACCCAAATATGTAACTTCAGTTTCATGACCAGAAATATGTTGACAGCCAGGGCCCCAGTAGAACATACCTCCAGAATTCAGGATGCCACATGAGTCTCCTACTCCCACATCTACTTTGTCCCAGAAGATGACATAAGCCCCTTCAAGAGAAACATTGTTTTGCCTGAAGCACACAATGATGTCTCTTTTTCTGATCACCAGCTCAATTCTTTCATTTGAAAATGCCTTATTTTGGGTTTCACCAATTATATCACAGCCTTCATAGTTGGATGAATTGCACAAATCACTCTTACAGCTGTAGACTGTCACATCTGTTCTGCCAGAAGAGGAGTCTGGCGTCCCTCTGGCAGGGATGCCACTGGGCATGGCAATATCTAGATGAGAAGAAAAAAAAGAGAATAATTAGCTTTCTTGCCAGAAAGTTGGTGTTAGGCAATGGGAGGAGTTTTGGTGGACAAATCCAGTCATGGATTAGGAAACGTTGTCTGCTAATGGGCAATTTTTATGTGGTACTGGGCCCAGCCCCCAAAACAATTTTGAGGTAGAAATACAATATATTTCCCCCACTGCTGCCTCTGGGGTTTTAACTAGGAAGCTGGCAGCCTGGGAACTGAGTTAAAAGACATTCCTGTTGTTGAACTACAAGGTCCTCTGCCCAGATGAGCTTAGACGCAGCCTCACAAGAAGCATGGTCAAGGGAGGTGATTCCTCCTCTCTACTCTGCTCCCCTGAGACCCTGCCCTGCAGAGCTGTGTCTAGTTCTGTGGTCCCCAACACAGGAAGGACATGGAGCTGTTGGGAGCAAGGCCACAGAAATGATCCAAGGGCTGGAGCTGCTCTGGAGACAGGCTGAGAGAGTTGGGATTGTTCCACCTGGAGAAGAAAAGGCTCCAGGGAGACCTTAGAGCACCTTCAGGTACCTGAAGGGGCTCCAAGAAAGCTGGGGAGGGACTTTTGACAAGGGCAGAGAGTGACAGGATGAAGGGGAAGAGTTTCAAGGGAAAGGAGTTAAATTTAGATGAAATATGAGGAAGAAATTCTTTGCTGTGAGGGTGGTGAGACATTGACCCTGGGTGCACCAAGAAACTGTGGCTGCCCCAGCCCTGGAAATATCCAAGGCCTTGAAGCAACCTGGTCTAGTGGGAGGTGTCTCTGTTCATGCAGGGGGGTTGGAACTAGATGATCTTTAAGTTCTCTCCAACCCAAACCATTCTGTAATTCCAGGATTTTCTTTCCTTCCAAAACCCCTCAGCACAATTCCATCAGGTACATCTCCAGCAGATATCCAGATCCCATGACACATGAGGTTTACAGCTGAGTTGCCAGACTACGTGGAGCTGACTGCAGTGTCCCAGGGGACAGCCACTGAGCCAGCTCCCTATTCCTGCAGGCAACAGTTTCACAGCTGCACCAGCACCTGCCTGAAGGGCTGGGTGCCAAGAACTAGCAAAGGGGTTTCACTCATTCAGACTGCCCTGGTCAGAGCCTGTCCCTTGAGAGAGGACACACCTCATCTGGCTTCAGATGGCTCCAAAAAGTCACCCTTCCCAAGACAGGAGATGACAGGTCAAATGAATCAACTTTCACCTTCTTAATTTCTTTCCACAAAACCTCAGTGGTTTCGTGATCGTAGTTTTAACTGGACACAACTGAGCTTTCTAGTAACAGCTTAGAAGTCCTGAGCTGCTCACGTGCAGTGAAAACCAATGAGTTCAAACAAGGAGACTCACTTGGACAGGGAGCTGCAACAGTCAGAAGCAGGAAACAGAACCAGTGGGTAGAGTCCATCAGGCTGTCCTGGGTGCTCAGCTCCAGCAGTACTTGATGTTCTCCCAGATCAACCACAATCCCAGGGCAGGCTCACCAGGCTCCTCTCTCAGTCATCTCCCTGTTTTGACATTAAATATGATGTTATGATCCATTATCTTTCTCCAGACAAAAAGAAAACCACATCCAGGCCAAACACATCAAGCTTCCTCCAGCCAAGACAGCTGGAGCAGAGAAAAAGAAGCATCCATGCTGGTCAGCTGCAACTGCTCTCTGCAAGGGCTTTTGCAAAGGCCAGACCTGCACCTCTGGGTTAATTACGGTAGTAGAAGGCACATGGGTCTTTCTGCAGGGAAGAGGAAATCCCTCCTGAGCCTGCTGGGCAGGAGGTTCCATTCCCAGGTCCTCCAGGCTTCTCAAGGCAATCCACATCACTCAGCAGTACATGTCATAGTATCTTGACTTGTTATCACTTCCAAAACACACAAAAAGTTAAGACAAGGAAGATATTTTGTGCTGAGTATTTTGCTCACCCTAAGATTAAATATTTATTGTCAAATTGAATTTTACTTTTAATTTAGAAGACCTGACAGGAAATATCTGTTCAAATTAAGCAAACAAACAAAAATGTGTATTTCTTCTTTTAAAAAAGTGTCTTGGATGTAGTCAGAAATTCATCCTCAATCATTTTGATGAAACTGCCATGAATTTGTGAAATGTGTTCTAGTAAAACTCAAGTTTCACTTGCCAAAGGAGTAAAGAAAAAAATCTGGAAAATGCCCATAACTTCCCTCACTAGCCCAGCTCCCAAGAACACAACTTCCTTTGCTTCCAGGATCTTTTATTAGATGTGGCCCTGAAAACCTTTTTTGGCTTTGTGACTGCCCAAGAAGCAGCTTGTGGAAAATTTCAAATAAATACACATTAATTCCTAACAGCACATGAATTCTTCAATGAAAATTAATCATTGCTTATCTCTTGGGATCTGTGCTAGCTGACAGCTACTGAGTTCCCAGGAACAGACAAGAGGACACAAGTGCAAAACAAGCCCTTTCCAGCTGCAGCCAGGTGGAGGAGACAATCTTTGAGGCTGTGGAATGAAACCTGGAGCCTGTCTGCAGTGCCTGAAGCTCCCAACACTCCCATGCAGGGCCCAAGCCCAGGAAATGAACTAAGCCAAGGTCCCAGAGCTGCTCCACATACACCCACAAAGCTGTGATCCATCCACTTCCATTTCAAACCACACAAGGGACAAATCCTTCCATCTTATGGCTGTACGACCACCTTGCAAGGATTTCTTCTTCCCCCACCAAGGATTAAGAACCCTCAGAGCATCTGAAGAGCTCAGCACCTTTTCTCATCCTCTTCCCATACATCTAAAACCAGTTTCTATCTTTTTGATTTAGGTTGGGGCTTTCCAAAAGCAGATCAAGCAGCTCACACATCCCTCACTTCATCCTGCTTTGCAGAGCACCAGTTAACAATCCCTGTCCCCACCATGGGCGAGCAGAGCACCAAAGGGATTGTCATCAACCTTAAAATCATTAAATCATTTGGGTTGGCGAAGACTTCTAAGATCATAAAGTCCAGCTGTTAACCTCACGCTGTCAAGTTCACCACTAAACTATGTCCCTAAGGGCTATGCCTACGTGTCTTTTAAATACTTCCAGAGTATGATATTCCCTTGTCCTCCTTGGAGCATGTTAGGCAGCCTGATGCAGCCCTCTCACACCAGCTGCAGCACATCTGGCAGAATTATTTGCCCAGAGGTTAAGGACAATGACTTCTTTTTTTCCTCCAGTAGTTCTCAGCCCAAGGTCTGTATTTTCTGTCCTTATTCATTTTGTCTGCTCTTCTTGCCTCATCCTTGTCCCTCTTCTCATTCTACTGAAAGGACATCTCCCTCCCTCTTCTCTCTGCTGACATTCCTTCCTATTCCCCCTCTTCATTTTCAAAAGCCAGAACACTGTCCATCAAATCTCCCCCTGGTCTGTCTTATAATCCTTTTTGGCAGGTTTCTGAGTCTTCAGCTGTCTTGGCCACTTCCTGCCATTAGTTTTAAACTTACTTTAACAATAGAGCCTTCAAATCTAAAATGAAACACGCCAAGTGGATAGAAAATATTTTTGGCCAAGGTGTTTACCTGCTTGCCTTTCCTTTCAAAGCAATACAAACTTTCACTTTTCAGAGTTACTCAAGTTGTCTACACAGCTGTAAGAAAGTAATTAAAGACCCTAAAAGGGGGATCAGCTGCAAGCAGTAGATGACTAAAGTAGCAACCATGAGAAACTGGAGCTCCTTCAGTAAAGACCTGGTCATTCGCACCCAACTGGTCACACCCTATACCCCAGGTCAGACCTCACCCCATGAACAAGCCAACCTGAGATCACTGGCAGGAGGAACTGGGTTTAACCAGAAACTGAAAGTCGTGAAGCCCTAACAAGGTCATTTGGTTTTGTTTTTGAAAGGATCTGAGTCAAAATTTCTCCCCCTTTTTCTTCTCTTGTAACCTCGTAGCAAACACAACAAAACAAACAACTCCAATGTTTAGGAGGACAAGTCAGTCATTAACTTCACAGTATCCTTTCCACCAGAGGAAGGACCTGGAATATTGTTAGACACCTGCCTTTTCCTACCCCAGCACAAGTCAAACCAGTGACTGCCTTTCCAGTGTGTGTCCTCAGATTCACTCACCACTGCCTCCTGCACAGCTTAGCTGAGGCTGCCACTTCAGTGGGGACCCTTTGGTGACAAGGGCAGAGCTGTAGCTGGGGTCACCCAAACTCCCTGCCATAGGAGATGGCAGAGCAGGGCAGCTGCTCTCCAACCCAGGGCTCCAGCATGACCCTCCAGCTGCAAACACTGCCCCCTTCTCCCTCTTCCAGCCAAACACCCTAAGGTCTATGAGCCTTTCAGTATATGGCTTGTATGGTCAGGCAGAAGAGTCTGGGTGGAACAATGCAGTACATTTGCAGAAAATAATGATTTGAAGGAAGAAGCAACAAAATAAAAACCAAAGAACTTGAGAAGATCCTACAGATTTTATTTTCCACTCTACATTCTTTCTTGGAAAATGAAATTAATTGAATTAGTTAATTTTTATATTACTTTCAGTATTGGTTTCATTTTGTGGATCTGGTGAATACTAATCTCCACAAGCTTTTGGAATTAAAAAAACACCACAAACAAAATCACAGATAAAAGCTATTTCCAGAGCAGGGCGGTGAGTGCTGTTTGTTTCTACAGTTCCAAGAAGTCAGAGCAGAAATCAACCAGCAGGACCTTGTGCTTTGAGCTGAGAAATCTCTGCAAAAATCCTGAGCATGAACTACACAACTTTCCAGTAGCTACTCTTAAAACGTTTTCCCACAGTAACTATTAGAAAACACTACTAACATTTTGCTTTCTGCTTGCAGCACATTAAGGCAAGTAGAATGAACTGGTTCACTGGTTTAATTAATGTTATTTTAAAAAATACTATTATAATTAAGTATATTACATTTAAAATACTAAGATATACTTACATACTGACACTTTCTGTTCTGGTTTCCTGTTCCGCTCTGAACCCAGAGCCACCAGGATCCAGAGTAATCACAGGG